TGAATTAGCCATGGTGAGGAGGTTAGCATCCATGTCTCCTGCAGGTCATTCCGCTAAGCCTTCCAACAGTGATGGCAAACACAACACAGCACAGCACAGGGGTCTCTGCCATTTCTGATGTGTCTCCTATTATTAACTCCTCTATGTGAAGCTCAGGCACAGAAGAAAGAGAGGAGATGAGCTCCTGTTGAAGTCCAAGGCCAGATGCAGGGCTTTGTCTTTACAATATGGATTTGTGAGGGAATATTTAACCCATTGTGCAATACTGCTGATTGTGACTGGCTCTGTGGCCACATTTCATTTACAAGTAAAACAATGTTTTTATGGTCTCTTATGTATGTTGGCATCTGTAAAGGGATAGGAAACCTGTTTGGAGAGGTTATGCCACACATGAGGAAAATTCAAGTTCAAGTTTTAGCTACTTCTGGTTAACAACCACACACAAAGAATGTGAAGGTTTTAATAATTCTTCAGGGCTTTCCTTATATGATAACCCAACTCAGGGAAGGATGAGTTGGGTTTACCTGTTCTACTGGCCTTTACCTTGAGAATCAGAGGTTATTTAAAAGGAATCAGGGGTTTGAGGAAGAGTGAAGAAAGAGGACAGCTCTCCTGAGGCCAGACAATTGTTACCATACTGAGTGGGGTGTACATTCCAGGCAGAGTTGGTAACTACCACAAATATTGGTGAACATGTTATCAGACGCACTCACTGCATATCACAATTGTATAGACACGTTTTCTAGTTCCCCAAAGCAAAGGGTATCACAGAGGCATTTATCTGCCTCATGACAGAAGTGTTTTTTTTTTTTGTTTGTTTGTTTTTTGGTTTGTTTGTTTTTTAATCATGTACACAGAGTTATTTAAAATTCCCTGATTCAATCTTGTAGACCTTGAAGCAAAATGAAGAAACTTTGGCTCATAAACCTGGCAAATACTTCCTTCAAATGCTACAGAGAAGTTCAATAGGACTATTTTCAAATTATTTGTGAGTCATAATCGTGGTAGAGTTTCAAAGGAATTAATACATTGATTTATGATGTGGCTAATTTTCCATTTAAGTGTAGTAGATCATAATGAATACCAATATGTTTCAAATATTTCCTAAATGTCAATTAAGAGCCTACCTTTTTTCTAGGTGCTATAGATACAAAGGTAGAGTTGGTGCATCTGTTCATGGAGGTTTATGTTCATCCTAGTTGAAGGATTTAAATGGCATAATACAGGATTCTCAGTTATCTCCCCTTCAAAATTATCATCTCAAAAGATGTCACCCATGGCACATTCTGCAACTCCTTTCATTTTATACATCCTAATTAATTTGACGTATCTACAGTCCTGTTATATGGAAGAGAAATAATCTTCATGAGGCAAGAAAAGTAAATTAAACATCTCTTAATAAAGAGTATGCTACATTTCACAGGCAGGCCAAACTCCTCTTTTACATTCCTATCGCATTCTTGAACTTCTCCACCCTTAATTATTAGCAATATGCACTTCATCACAGCTTTAAGAGAGCCAACAAAGTCCGTTTTATATAATTGTAAAAATCCCAGAAGTATGACATGGAAAAAATCCAGAATTCATAAGATGATTTATTACAGCTCTGTAGTTTTGTAAATGTGGAAAATGAAATCCCAGAGGGTTCCAAGGTCATGGTTAGCTAGTGATCGAGGTTATAGGATAAAGACCCCTATGGTCTTATCCCCTGCCCCAGGTTTTTCTTTGGTTTCCCATCAGTAGATGCGATAAGGGAACTCAAACAAACTTTTCCAATTCAGATACTTTGTGTACCAAAAATAAATTACACAGGACATGCCTCTAAGGAAGAGTCATACTGTTTTTAAAAATATCTTGGTGCCCCTCTGTGTATCCATGTGGGTCTTTAAATTCATAAGCATTATAATTCTCTGGCATCAAATAGATCTATCTTTCAAGAATGTTTTCATTTACACTAAGAATTTTCTAAAATATTTTATTGATAACATTAGCACAAAGCCCAACTTCACTTAACAAACCAACTTTAATTTTATCCTAACCAGATAGAAGTTCAGAAATATGATGAGAGTAATAATCTCAAGAACTCTGTTCAACTGCCTTGGGATGTGCCAAGCCCTGTGGGTGTTCCAGGCATTCTTGTTTAATCCTGTGAGGTAGACGTCATCATTTTATTTCCAAGGGGACAGGCTTGAGGTTTCATCCTGGAATTTCACTTCTTGGAACTTTTCTTATCCAAGATTGTAGCACAGTTGAGACATTACAGACTCAGAAATTAAATCTCCACCTGGTGCAAATAAAAAGTCTGTATCAATACATGATTATACAACCTTCCCCAATTTTGAATTCCAAAAGCTTATTTGCTGTTTAGTTGTTTTATTAGATACATGTACACAATGAGAAATGGTACGAAGTCTATTGATCCATACAGTAGCCTAGGTCATATAGTTTGGCATATTGCATTTTTACAAATCTTAAGAACCAAAGCATTTATGTCATTATTTTTAACCGAAATGAAAGTGGTAAAACTGGAACTATATGTGGCTGTCATTTTTTTTGAGCTCATCCCAGTCCTCTAATCACAATTCTGAACAACCCGTCCTCATCCCCAAGAGCCTGGCTTGCCACATGGTGAATGAGCTACATAAACTTACCCTACCCATGCTGACAGCCACACCACCTCATGGCATGAGACACTCCTCAGGACTCCTTTCCCATCACTGGACTAATCCATATGCTAGTGTACAGGTTCCTAGCTTAATTGCCTGCTTGTCTTCTGTAATAGGCCCAGCCTATTTCTCAGACTTCCTCATTATTAGCTTCCAACTTAATTAAGGGCCTGTGAAGCACCCTTAAGGCATGACCCCAAGTTACTTGTTCTTTATAATTCTAATTCTAGAACAACCAGCACTTTTAGAATCATTTCTATAAAGAACAACTTCTTTTTATTCTCTCTTAAAATTTTTTTACCTGATGCATAATAACTGTACATATTCATGAAGTACAGCCAGATATTTGCATGCATGTATACATTGTGTAATGATGGAATTACCATGATTAACATATTATCACCTTAAACTTTTATCATTCCTTTGTATTTAGAATATTCAAAACCTTCTCTTCCAGCTATTTTGCAGTATACAATAAATTATTAAGTAGAGTCATTCTACTGTGGTTGGGTGCCAGAATATAATCTTCCCTGACTGCATTTTGTACCTATTATTCAATCCTCTCTGTCCGCTTCTCCCCTTCACTTTACATACCTGTAAATATATGTGTTCATTTTCATGGAGTGCAAAGCCAGTGCAGTCTGTTTCTTCCACTGTGTGGACTATTTAACATATTTAATAAATGTGTATATATATATTTTTTTTCTTTCACATTTCTTCTATATGCAGGATTTTATTAATCAGACTACCAGAATTATTTGTTCACTGAGTAACAGTGAAGTTACAAGGAAGTGAGGTTGAGATGTGGAAAACTTACAATGTTAGGGTAGACTGTTTTCTGCTGTAAGAGGAAGATACCTTTTGGCTTCATATTCTTTTTTTTTTTTTAAATGGGGAAGAAGGGCTACTGGGGATTGAACCCAATGGCGGTTTACCATTGAGCTACATCTCCAACCCTTTTGATTGTTTTAAGACAGTGTCTCACTAATCTGATGAGAGCCTTGCTAAGTTACTGAGGCTGGCCTCGAATTTGCAATCCTCTTGCCTCAGCCTTCCTATTTTATGGGATTGTAGGCATGTGCCACTGCACCCTGTTGGCTTCATTTTCTTAAGACTGTATTTTCTCTCTCAAACCATGCATGCCTATGTGTGTGCGCATGCACACACACACACATACACACACACACACACGTGATATTCCTTTGCTTTAATCACCTCACTGTGGACTTATTTTTAGAAAGTAAAATGAGTTCACAAACCAAGGTGTAACATAATGATTTAATTTGTGTAATGACGGAATTATCATGATTAACATAGTACCAACTTAAACTTTTATCATTCCTTTGTATTTAGAATATTCAAAACCCTCTCTTCCAGTTATTTTGCAGTATACAATAAATAAATAAAGTGTGTTGTATTTTGAGGGAATGTATGGAAGTTTATAAGTGATTTTGTGTCCCTTACATAATCAGAATTCTGTGACTGTAATTCATACACATCAGAATAAACAGACTTTTCCAGGCCCACTGTGGAACCTTCTGGGTGCAAGGCAGTGATGGATGGGTCTCACAGTACAGTTGGGTTTTCTAAAACATCCATTGATGAATATGATGAGATCCATAAATGATCATGGAGAAGGCCCTACTGTGCACATAGCATGCTGCCCAATGTTCAATAAATATGTGTATAATTGCAAATGATTACAGCCAGGCCGCCTCACTTCATATGCTCTGCAGCATACATGACAATGGGTCTGAGGGTGGAAAATGGAAACTGCTGAGTTTTTCAGCTGATCACAATCAAATCAGAACACATCAAAACAGCTGGTGTTCTGTGACTCAGAATCAATCAACCAGTTTCGAATCACCTCATCTTCCTTTATTTCTCTTTACAGTTTCACTGAGAGGTTTAAACCAGCATATGTCCTTCCCATTTGGTTAGATCCCTGCTCTGAGCCTCTTTGCTTTCACATTCTAATACTGAAACTGACTGCAGTATTAGAAAAAAAGAAGAAGAAGAAAAGGCTAATATTAAAATGATTTCTAAAATGCTGCTGCTACTACATTTGTGTAAATTAAACCATATGCTCAAGCAAAATGCCCTAGAATAAACATGAAATTTTAAGGTCGTGTTTTGGAATGAAGATAATTCTGCATCAGCAATATTTATGTGACAGATATGGCAAGAGTTATAATAATTTTCTAAGCATCCAGTTAATATTTTAATATTCTACACATGATAATATCATGGGACTTCAATATTGAGTTAGTGAATGAAAGTTCAATGTTGTGTGTTTCTTGGTTCTGACACAGACTCTTCTTTTTGTTCCGATAGGTACCTATTACACCATTCCTTGGCAAAGACTTTTCAGCAGTGGTGACCTCTTCCAATCCAACACTCTACAAATTATTATCTCTGGACTCCCAGCTGACACCCTGCCGGAGGCAAGAGCTCCTAAGCCAACTGGAACTGTGCCTCTTCTCTTGTCAAGGTTTTTTTCTTACACAGGAAAAAGAAAGAAAAAAAAAAAGATGAAGTTGGGTAAAGTGGAGTTCTGCCATTTCCTGCAACTCATAGCTCTTTTCCTGTGTTTTTCTGGGATGAGTCAAGCAGAACTCTCAAGGTCAAGATCCAAACCCTACTTCCAATCAGGGCGCTCCAGGACCAAGCGCAGCTGGGTGTGGAATCAGTTCTTTGTGCTGGAAGAGTATATGGGTTCGGACCCTCTCTATGTAGGAAAGGTAGGGTATCTAACTTTCAAAATTGTAAATGATTATTGTCAATGTCTATGGTTTGAGTGATAACTGCTAGTTTTTTGATTTGGGAAAGGTCAACACAAATCATTACTTCTATGAGACAGTTTATGAAGTTTTGTTATTAGCAACTATGAGGTGTAATCAGGGTGATCAAGTTCAGTGAAGCCATAATTTAAGGATTGATGCTCTGTTCCTAAATACAGATGAGGAGTGCCAGAGGCCTGATTTACCATGATGCTAAACTCATTGCCAATGTCAGAACAAGAACGTTCAGTATTCAATGAAGAGCACTGTGTTCTTTTGCCAAGTGATTTTCTAGCTGCTTCTTTTGGGATACTGTGTAAATATTGCTCATACTTGCATTAATGCTTCTATCGAATTCCTGGTACCTGCAGTTCAGAAACTGAAAAGTACAATTATCAAACCTGGTTACTCCAAATTATGTGCAACTCAAGGCCATTTTCATTAACAATCTTGTTTTCATGGTTCTAGGATTTTTTTCCCCACAGCTTCCTTCCATCTTAATTTTAGGTAGGAGACTTTTCTTTGGGGACCTACTGAACTGGAAAGCACTTCAAGAGAGCATGACCTTTCCCTAATCATCCTCAGATCATAGTTTCCAGTCTTTTTAAGTTTGTCAAGATTTCTGAATTTGATGTTTAGCACTGATGAAAGGCTTCTAAGTAGGGCATATCAGCAAGAAATCTATACCTCTATGTTTCTACTCTTCACTTTGTCAGTTATGATTCTGTTCCTCATAAAAGGAAGCACAGATGATGGATGAACTTTTCTATAAATCAATTTCTCAACTTTAAAAGATTGAGGAGGAATCTTGGTTATTTATTTTGTGGGTTATTTTCCATTTGTGTATACCTTAAGAAAGGGTTAAAATATTTTTATTGATGGCCATTCACAAAATTAAAGGTATTCCTTATCTTATGCGCGCTCACACACACACACACACACACCCCAAAATTTTTCTTGCAATGCCTTTGTATTACCAATACTGACTGGTACACATTGTAAGCAGAAGGATTTAAATAGATTAATGGTTTCTAGGTTTATGGATTACGATTATTTAGGATCAGCAGTAACGTTTTCCTATGCTATGAAAGCATGTGTAAATGCACTTAACTTTTTTTTGTATCCATTCTCCTTTATCAATGGCACTGTCATCTATATTGTATATGTGCTAAGTTTCCTCACTCTATTATCTTTTAACTCGTTTTATAATTTAAAATGAGAGATAAGTTATAATGCCATGTGACTGACAAAGAACCCAAATCTGAATGTCATTCACTTTAATGGAATTTAACCAATTCATCAAGCTTTCGTCAATGGATAGATCTGAAATATTTAGCTAATTTATAAAGTGTCAGTAGCTATTAGGTGAATGAAGCCATGTTTGGTGACAATGTAAAAATTTTAAAACAGCAAAAGTATGTCCATTAATTTGGTTTAAATGGAGTTGGGCTAGGCCAACATTTAAAAATCAACACAATTTTTAAAATTTTAAAGTGTCTTTTTAAATTTTGCATTTATGCATAATAATTCAGAGTGTTTATATCCAAATAATATCTAGAAGCCAATTTTATAAACATCCTGGTTTAAGTTCCAAATGTACATGAAGTTATGGAACAATTCATTTGTTATTTTTTAAAAAGAAATTGTATGATTCTTTAGTTAGGTAATCAGAGAAGATGCCTTAATAGATTTTTTTTTTGTTGTTTGTTTGAGAGAGGAGAGAGAGAGAGAGAGAGAGAGAGAGAGAGAGAGAGAGAATGAGAGAATTTTTTTAATATTTATTTTTTCAGTTTTTGGTGCACACAACGTCTTTATTTTATTTTATGTGGTGCTGAGGATCGAACCCAGCACCCCACGCATGCCAGGCGAGCGTGTTACCGCTTGAGACACATCCCCAGACCAACCTTAACAGATTTTATCTGACAGAAAATTAAGATTGTGTTTATGCTTTCTATGGGGAGTTCAGTACCGCCATTCACAGTGAAATGTTTAGGATGGAAATGGGCAAATTAAAAACAACTTTCTTCATTGACTAAAATGCAGAAAAAGGGAAACAGAATAATTGGGGATGGAGAGAGGTTTTATAGACCAGTGAGACGAATACAGGGCCTTACAGTGACAGTTTCTATTTTCTTATAAAATGGTAACATAGAACTTGAGTACTTTAGAAGCATTAATGCAAGTATGAGCAATACTTACACAGTATCCCAAAAGAAGCAGATAAGAAAATAAAGGAATTCTTTTTAGGTTGGTGGTCTGAATCATCAGAGGGACAGCTCTGATCACTTGTTTATATAAAATGGGTATGTTTCTGTTGTTTGTTTGGCTGAGGGAGGTGATGGCTATGACCACAAGTGTTTATAGGACAGAAAACTAAGTATTGTAGATCAAGATGTGGAGCAGGAGCCAGGCAGAGCATCATGAAAACTAAATAAGAAATCTAAGTGGTACTTTCCACCGATGTACATTTAACCTAAGCTAATTAGATGGCCGCCCATTTGGTCATCGAGACAAGATCTATTTAGTTGCTTTGGATGATGTTAGTACTAACTTTAATAAGACATATCAACTATATGTCTTATAGTTCAATTTGATGACATTACATATATGTACAATGTATATTGAATCGATAAAGTGTTATTGCTGGCTCTGCCACTTCCTACTATTGTATAACTTTACCTAAGTTGCCTAATGTTACTGAATTTTAATTTCCTCAGTTCTAAAATGGGAATGTTCATATCTACTATTCAATTGTTACTTAATAACTGAAGTAAAATATTTGAAATATGCATCCAATTAATCTAGATATTATTTTTCTACTTTACTAAATATTGATTATAAATTAACAGTTATGGATAATTCAGTCTGTCATGTGTCAGTTGTTAAATGTGTGATCCCTTCAGTGAATGCAGGCATGATTTGAGGTATTAAGACTTATTCCAGCTAATTAGAAGAATGGTCTGTTTTGGTTGTGCTAAGGAATGTAGTAATCAAGTGTTTATATATTTATTTATGTATTTGTAGATCTTCAAATTTGGAGACAATATTAATAGCTGTGGCAAACAAGATCAGTTAAATGACTGTACAGTTAATAAAGCTGGGTCATTAAGGTATTGAGGTCAATGAGATCACAATATGTATTTTGAGTTTATTATTTTATCTAATGTGCTGGGTTTGCATGACACGTGATAACCCAAGCCCAAAGCAGAACAATCCATTGAATGGGGCCAGAAATACAAAGTGAGAACCAGCCTTGGCAGAGACTTATGGACTGAGTTAGACTCTATGATGTGACCTTTCCTTTAGCCTTCCACCCTTTCTTTCGCTATAGACTGGTAAACTGTTGACCCTAAATGTACAGACTAAAGGAAAGAGTTTTACATGTTCCCTTGATTGAGTTCTGTTTGAATGATTAGTAGAGCCCCATTTGATCAATTCTTAATGACTGTCTTGCTTGTTCTCCTGTCTTTACGTGGGGATAGGGAACCAAGGTGCCTCTTATCTGGCTGGGAGTGTGTCCATTGTCTCTGATCTGCTATTTGCAGTACAAGAGGCCACAGTTTCCACCCACGTCATTGCATGACTGTGCCCTTTCCCATCCCGGTCTTTCCCTCATTGGCATTTCTCACTTAACGTCTCCTAACCATCTGACACAACTGTCTATCTCCAAAACCACCCAGCCTCTGTTCCAGGTATGGAGTAGTTTTTTGTCTTTGTTCACCATAATGGGCTGCCAGCCCATGGCTGCGCCCGAGGCCATTACTTTCACTGAGATGTGTGCTCTGTGCGTCTTCAGCAGTCTGCTTGCCTCGCCATTAATATCATTCTTGCTTTTTTTTTGCTATTTCCCTTTCTTTTCTACTCATTCAAGGAGAATTTATATCTATTACTACAGCAGAAATCAAATACATAGAAATGCAATGTTCAGGGTTTACTTTCTTTTAAATCGAAGCTTGCCTGAAAACGTTGGTGAGCGTTTTCAATGCATTTCATTACAAGCCAGCAGTATCTCTCACCAAGAGGTTCTCTATCTCCTGATATCTGAAGCTGTGTTCAGTGTTCCGGAAAAGAAATCTTCATCATGAAAATAGGCTGTGTTAAAAAAATTGAATTACAGATTAGAATCCTTAGCTGGAAAATGTTATATTAGATGCACAAAAAGAAAATAATAAATCTCAAGTATTAATTACTTAGGGAAAAACAAATTTGTCATAATAAAATCTACATTTTATTCATTCTGGTGGAAAACAAACAAACAAAATGAAACAAGTGTCCTGCAAATATGTGTATTGCCTACAGTCAGATCAGATCTGAAGAGGAGACAAAGCCAGGCTGTGTGTGCATGTGTGTTTAAGGAAAGTCTAGAAAATCCACACCCATAATATCTTTATAATTTGAGTTAATTTGCCAAGATCCTTGTTCTTACCTTCTTGTTAGCTTGCTGATAGAAGTGTGGAACTCCTGGTGGCTTCAAAAGGAATTTGGACATGGATCAGCTCTGTGGGATGCAAATAAGTTCAGCTTTTTAGACATACTTTCTGGCAGTTATTTTTAGCTCTTAGAATAGTCCAGTGTAACTGTAAGGTATTAAATGCATTTTCTCCAGCAAATAATTCAAGATTTTTGTTTTGTTTCCGTTTTTTCCATATAGAAGATAGAATATGTCATATACTACCTCTAAAATGAAAGAACCCACACTTATTTCAAGTTTAATATAGCTAAATACATTCTGTGTTATCTTAAATTACAAATAAAAATTATAATTCCCAAAGACTTGATCAGGCTGAGCCACATAGCGAAGTTGGAGGAAGTGGGGAACTTGGAGTTACATGCCTAATTGTAGCCAAGCTAGATAGTTTAGATTAGGCTCTAAATTTCCAGTTGCATTTGTCTTGATAAAAGCCACTTAAAAACTACCCTTTTTCATGTCGATGCTAATATATATGCTCCAAAAATAGAGA